TAATGTTGTGTATGCAAGTATATAAAAGTATATTGATCCCAGTTTTACATGTAAATCTATTTCATAAAAAAAAAATATGTAAATAAAATTTATGGCAAATGTTATAATCCATGTTTAAAGATTAACTCAAGATGAATCTAACTTATCTTATAGCAATAAAATAAACAAAAAATAAATAATTTTGATATTTAACTATGTGCATTGCACGTGCATAAGAACTAGTAGTATATATATACATATCTTAGCATTAATTAGTAGTACACATATCTAATTTTGTTTTAATTGGAAAATTAGTTTTAGTTCTCTACCGAATGGCTAGTAAACTCGTTCTATCATAACTAGGAAAAATTAATAAATTTAATGACAGTAATTATGATATGTGGCATAGAAAAATAGGATATGCTCTTATTCATGATAATATCGATGATGTAATCGAAACCACTGCTTCAACCTTTACTGATAAATCTACACCTGAAGAAAAGAAATGGTTTGAACAGTGAAAATCGAAAGATAAAAAGGCAAAAAGCCTAATGCTCATGTTCATGGAAGATAACATAATCAAAGTTTTTGAAACTTATAAGACTTCCATAGACATGTGAAATGCTATAAAAGAGAAATACGTCACCGCCTCTGAAGTTAACATTCAACTCCTCTTGCATAAATATAATTCTTATCGTATGCAAGAGGGAGACAATGTCGTAGAGCATATAAATAAGATGATTGTCATACCTAAGGACTTGTCCATTGCTGGGATCGAAATCTCGAAAAGAATGCAAGTGGCAACCATTTTGAATAGTCTACCCCATTTTCTTGCTGTGGCTGCCACCACATTAAGCATGAATCCTACCATTAAATCTGTCACTGATCTTCCTATGCACCTAGCAATAGAACATGACTTAATAGCTAGTAGGAAAGAAGCAGAACTGAATATGGTGCAACAAGTGCTGAATTATGTCCGCCAGAAGCATAATGCTGGAAGCTATAAAATCTCTGGTCCTAGTAAACCACAACCGCGAGGACCGAAATCGCAGCGGTTCAAGAGAAAGAAGTACCCCGCGGAGCCTGCTACAATTGTGGATCAGGCATTTCAAGCCCACTTGCCCGCAAGGTGAAAAACAGGAGAATAAATGAGGCTATAAGCATCCAGAACAAGGGGTTACTAGCAAAAGATAATTCATCGGTGTGACAGAATGCAATGTTATGATGACGGATATCAGCAGTTGGTGGATCGACTTCGGTGCGACCAGACATATCGTAAAGGACAAGAGTGGGGTCACAGAATTCACCGAGCTGAAGAAAGGAGAACAGATAATCTATAAGAGAAATAATACCTATCTCGATGTAGAAGGTATTAGTTCGTATAGATTGGATCTTGGGGACAATATTCTTGTCCTCAAAGATGTGTTCTATGCACCAGGAATTCGGCGCAATTTGATCTCTGTTCCTAGCTTGATGAAAAAAGGACTGGAAGTTATGTTCTACAATAACCGGGTTTCTATAGGCAAAAATAATAAAGTGTATGCTATGGAAAAATATATGCCCGAGCATGAATTATGCATTCTTCCAATAGTTTGTAATAATTCTAATAATAAAATTTTGAATTTGAACTACTTGTCCTGTTATATTTCAGAGTCTGAATTGTGTCATTCTAGACTAGGACATGCTAGTATTTTAAAAATAAAAGAAATTATCAGAATGAACTTACTTCCTGCACTATCTAATGTTCAATTGTCATCATGTGAACATTGTTTAACTGGTAAAATAACTAAAAAACCTTTGGCGAACAAAGAGCCAACGACCTTTTAGGACTAATACACTCGGATATTTGTGGTCCCCTAAATGTCAAAACTCATAGTAATAAAAAATAATTTTATTACTTTCATAGATAATTATTCCAAGTTTGCACATGTCTATCTTATATCTAGAAAATTAGAAGCTTTTGACTGCTTTAAGAGATATAAGACAGAAGTTGAAAACCAACTTGAAATGAAAATCAAAATTTCGAGAACTGATAGAGGTGGAGAATATAACTCTAAAGAATTTGAGAGTTAATGTATGCACAATAGAATTAAAAGGCATACAACAATGCCATATACGCCACAACAAAATGGTGTTGCTGAAAGAAAGAACAGAACATTATTGAATATAGTTAGATACATATTGTCTCATTTTGGTCTCTCTAAAAACTTTTAGGGAGAAGCATTGTTAACTGCAAACTATATTTTAAATAGAATTCTAACCAAATCAGTTGTATCTACACCTTATGAATTAAGGAATGGAAGGAAGCCTAATCTGAGTCATCTCAGAAAATGGGGATCTATCATCCATGTTCTCATTCCGCATCAATTTAGAGATAAGTTAGATTTTAAAACAGTAAAGTGTAGATTCATAGGGTATTCAGAAAAGTCAAAAAGTTATAAGTTCTACAATAAAGAAAAATGGGTCATTGAAAGTAGAGATGCTATATTTCTAAAGAATCTAGAGAAAGAGGAACAAGTTTGAGAGGAAAC